GTTAAGGAGGCAGCCTTATCAGTGGCGCACAAGATGCGATGACGATGTAAGTGTCATTGCATTGTAATGTTTTTATTTGCCTATCCAGTTGAAGCCACTAGATGCGGCGCTGCTGCGTTGTTAATTACAAATATTGTGGGAAAAGAGAACATCAATGCGGAGAAGATCTTGTTTACGTCAAAACTGAAACCAAGCCGTTCACACAGAACACATATTTCATGCATTTTCTAGAAGGACATCTATCAGCATTGCATTTGCGTCTCGCACAAAGGAGCCGCATGTTTAGAAAGCCATGTAAAATTAATGCAAGTTTAACTTTGAAAAATCTCGAGACTTTATGGCGGGGTTTTCTCCTCATCCCACTGCAACTCGTGTTTTTAAACGAAAAATTTAATCTGTGTGATTGGCTTTCGGCCCTTTGTATTAAACTATGCATACATACATGATGCTGTTTTGTTTATAGTTGTTTAAAAGCAACTTAATTATAATTGGTTTATAAACATTTTAAACATGCACTTTTTTCACAGATAGTCATGTTATCTTATATGCTTTGAATAAACGTGCGTTGGTCGATGTGGCCTCAGGAGAGAAGCCACCCTAACTGAAATTATGCATTTTAAATTTGAATATAATTCAAATGTTGATAATATTTAAGTACAAAATTCGAATTTAGTTTTTCAGCCATTTTGACAACCCTAATACACAGCTTGAGTAGCAAAATTGTGTTCAGTTTTAACTCTTTATTCCATTTTGTATTTTTGGATAAGAATAAGAAGCACTTCATCCGGTACTTAGTGTCTTTCATTCCAACATAAGAAATAATTTCTGGAATCTGCATCTGAAATCGTATTTACATATCTCAGAGGGGACATGGATACATTTAAACTGCAGTTGCAGATGCACAAATAGGCCTAATGTTTTGTTTTTAACATAAAACGTTAAATACTGATATTTGAAATAATTTAAAACATGAAACAAATAGTCGAAATGCGAAATTAAAACCGCCAGTAGGTGGCAGCAAGTGACTGTTAATGAGTGAGTCATTGAGATTCAACCGATTCATTCAAACGACTGATTCATTCAGAAACAAAGCACTTGACTGTGTTAATGAGTGAATCACTGAATCATTTTTATCAACCGATTCATTCAATAAGTAAACACCGTCCATTGCTCAGAGACGCAAAACAGTGCTGTGTGATCTTTGTTTGGAACTATTTTCGTTGGCAAAATTGAGCAAAAACAAGCAATATTACCTCTAAAATGTAAGTCACTTATTGCTTTACTGAACTTGCATAAAATGATTATTAAATGTGTTATCATGCTGATATCTGCAGAAAAACGGTGCTCTTTGTGTGATATAGATTAAGTTAACTATATTAAATTGTATAGTATACATATAAAGAGCTTACAGAAGCATTTTTGTCATCCATAATTTAGAATGCCTGGGATTTTAAGTTTTAATAGACTGATAAATCAATGTGCGTACACTCTGTGTGTGTGATTTGGTGATATAGCCTACTTGATAATGTCCGATCGCACATCATTACAACAACACTTACCATATTATCGCAGAAGATATACTGTATATCGCACACCCCAGCCTCGACTTTAGTGGAAAATGAATCATCCGCGGTTGTGCATGCACTTGTTTGCACGCAAGCAACGGTGTTTTAAACTTGCAAGTGCCAGACCACTGATTCGTCAAACCTGCTTTCCTGCAGTCCGTGTTCTCCTGACTTCTGACTATTTTGTAGTAAGTAACGAATATGCTTCGGGGAAATGTATCGGAGTAAAAGTATACATTTTAATTAGGAAATGTAGTGGAGTAAAAGTTGGCTGAAATATAAAAACTCAAGTAAAGTACAGATTCGCCCAAAAATACTTAAGTACTGTAACGAAGTATTATTACTTTGTTACATTACACTACTGGTAATCGCTGTATTGTGTAAACTGTGTGGTAAAAACTGGCAGCTGTGGTTGCTAGAAGAAGTCTGTCTTAAAACAATATTTTGGCAATGTTTTGAGCATTATGTATTATAAGATGGAAAATAGATGATCACGCTGATTTAAAGTTTATCAAATTTGTGCTTTCCATAAACAATGTGAACTGACATAGCTATTCATTAACCAATGTTCCCCACACAGAGGCAAAACATCAAATTACTAATTGAACACATAATATGTGACAAAATACCCTAATTTGCATCATTTCAAAAATAAAAACGAACTATATTTATGTAATTTTTGATGTCTTGTTAAATATATTCCAAAATTATATATGAATGTAGTTTCACCATAAATTCTATGGAATTTAACTGCCAAAAACCATATGTACATTCAGTTTTTTAATCTATTTATTTAAATAATATATATATATATGTATATGTAATAAATTACATTAAATTTAGCAGACGCTTTTATCCAAAGCGACTTACAGTGCATTCAGGCTATACATTTTTTACCAGTATATATAATTTTCATTATATATTTCATTATATATATATATATTGTACATTAAACTCAAGTGTTGCTTTAATCAGCGTAGCCAATATTGACATTTATTAAAATCAGCTAAAACAATAGGCAGTGCAGGACCAGGAAGTACAAACTCAATAGACTATTATAAACATAATTCCTCAAATAAATGTTAGGCAGGCAAGTCAGCAAGCACTTATTGTGCAAGATATTGTTGTTTGTTACCACAGCAACAGCTTTTGTGTGTCCAGGTTTCAATGCACTGCTTGTGTATGAACAGTACCTTTCACAAAATTGGCAAAATCGCAAGACAAGCTTAATGTATATCGGCACATTATTTAACTGTACACTTCTATTTGTTGGGGTATTAACATAGCAAGATTATCATATATTGTCCTTCATAATTAGTAGTATAAGCTTGTTTACTTTCCATTTTATTTTCTGTCAGAATACTCTCTTGCTTGTCTACTGAGTGGACATTTCTCTGAACCCACCATGAGTGATATAGAGAAAACGAACACCCACAAAAAAGATACAAAAATAGTTTTCCGCTCCATATAATGTTTTATTATTATTATTTTTTAAATGTAACATGAGTGATTTTAATGTAGTCTTTGTAAAAAAAATATAAGATTGTATTATTTTGTATTAATCTTTATTTAAGTTTTAGTTTAGTTATTTTAGTAAATAAACTTAAACTAAATGAAAATGGGAAATGTTGCCTTGGAACCTAGATTAAATCAGTTTTTTATAATTTATTATTGTTTTATATTTTATTGTTTCTGTGAACATTTATTTCAAGTAACGAAAATGTTTGTTTTGTTTCTTAGTCCATCCTTCTTATTTACAGTATAGCAGCCCTTTACATTTATTTTCCTTACATTTCTAGGTAGACTAAAGAGCAAAGGAAGTTTAGGTATGTTACAGGATCTAACAGAGACAGGACAAAACAGTGTATGACTCTGGGCGATGTCTTTTTTGTTACCTCTTCATGTTATTTTGAGCTGTCTACTCCTGTATTGAGGGAGCATCTCATTATAATGCAGCCCGCCTTACACTCCTCTGCTGCATGTCATTTTCCGTAGACCAATCCCTGGCCCTTGAGTGAAGTGTGTGTGTGTGTGTGTGTGTGTGTACCCCTGTTCCTCTCCTGTGTATCATGACTCTTGGGCTGAAAGGACTTTCACAAGGCAGCTGAAGGACTCGACTGTGGAGTATCATGTCTATACTGCAGCAGGAGACAAGAATGGTAGAGAACTGGATCACCAAGCTTTCTTATTTAATCATTAACTGATTCATGAAATGAAACAAACATGCCTTTTGAAGGTTTCTGCTTGTTCTGTACAGATCTAGCTGTTGTCTTTATATTCTTGATGGCAACTGGGTTTGCTTAATGTGTAACTGGATTTACTTTAGAAAGAGAAAGAAATCTGATTCAACAGGTTAGGTAATTAGATTTTGCTGTGCACAACATTGACAATGTGACTATCAAATATGAAATGTTCAGGCAGTTTTTGTTCTTTTATGTTTGGATTTGACATGACAAGTGAAACCAGTGCTTTGTTCAGCGACATGACGCTTTTATCCCCAGATCTAACAAGGTTATTTCAGGTTGTAAACATCATGCGTTGCAAAGATATTTGTAAAATATGTTTTTGTATATTGAATAATACATTTAAAACCCTTTTTTTTTTAAATAATGTATTTAAGGTGTAAGGAAAATATGTTTTGAAATTGACTCAACGTGCCATTTTTCGAGAATGGTCTAAAAAATTTCTGATACATCAGGTTTTGTTTAATTTTTGTTCATTTCTGGACATTCTTATTTGTCATTGACCCACTTTTCTGATAAAATGTTTGTTTGATTCAGGGTTTTACCTGATAGATTTGTTGCTTTATTTCACACAGATATGAACACAAATTGCATCCATATGGCATTGTGCTTTAGAGTGAATTGGGAATAGTTGACCCAAAAATGAAAATGTGCTGATCATTTACTTTCCCTCAGGCCATCCTGTTTAAAGAGTTTGTTCTTCATTGGAACAGATTTGTAGAAATGTAGCTTTACATCACTTGCTCACCAATGGATCCTCTGCAGTGAGAAAACAATATTATAGCGAACTTGTATTTTAGTTGGAAGCATTGGTTTGAGTTAAAGATGTCTCAATACGTCTAAAACGCAGCTTTTCACCTCTTAAGATGTTAATTGATGGACTTCGAGTCGAGACGTTTACTTGTGGATTACTGTGATGTTTTTATCAGCTGTTTTCTGGACTCTCATTCTGACGGCACCCATTCACTGCAGAGGATCCAACAATGAGTAAGTCATATAATGCTAAATTTTTTTTAATCTGTTCCCATGAAGAAACAAATTCATCTATATCTTGAATGACCTGAGGGTGAGTACATTTTCAACAAATATTCATTTTAGGGTGAACTATTCATTTCCGATTTGCTGTTCTAGAGATAAATACTGAATCCACAAGAAATATATCTTGTATCCTGTTTTTTTTTTTGTTCCCCAGCAGGTTCTTCACTGTGAGGGTGTGAATAATAAAAGCTATGTGTGTGAAACGGGACACTGTTGTGGAGAGTCCCAGTGCTGCAGCTACTACTATGAACTCTGGTGTAAGTACATCATTGTGTTTGTTATTGGGTTACAATGTTTGCTAAGAATTCATAAAGGCTCTGTGACGGTCACATTTACCGTAGAATGGCAAAGGAGGAACTGCTTGTTACAGGAATGATGATTCAATCAACTTGAATCAGATGTGACATTTCTTCAACATCAGGTGCATTTCCTGATTGTGCTTATTGAATAAATGAGACCAAGTCTTAAAGGGATAGTTCACCCAAAAATGAAAATTTGATGTATCTGCTTACCCCCAGGGCATCCAAGATGTAGGTGACTTTGTTTCTTCAGTAGAACACAAACAAAGAGTTTTTAACTCAAACCATTGCAGTCTGTCAGTCATATAATGGAAGTGAATGGGAATCACGGCTTTGAGAGCCAAAAAAACATACACAAACAAAACCAAATTAAACCCTGCGGCTCGTGACGATACATTGATGTGTGAACACACGAAACGATCACTCTGTGCAAGAAACTGAACAGTATTTATATTGTTTTTTTACCTCTGATTTACTGCAATGCCCGAACTGTCCTGAGTGCTTTTGCGTCTTCTTCTTGCTTTACGGCGGTTGGCAGACTTATAAGTGCATTGCCACCACCTGTCTCTCAAATGGACCATTGACCTAATTGAGATTATAGATAGAGTGTCAATGGTCCATTTGAGAGATAGGTGGCGGTAATGCACTTATAAGTCTACAATCCGCCGTAAAGCAAGAAGTAGTAGAAGATGCGTCACACGCCGGCTGTTGAGAACGCGCTCAGGACAGTTTGGACATTGCAGTGAATCAGTATAATCTATAAATACTGTTCAGGTTCTTGCACAGACCGATCGTTTCGTGTCTTTACACATCGATGTATCGTCACGAGCCGCAGGGTTTAATTTGGTTTTGTTTGTGTATGTTTTTTGGACTCTCAAAGCCGTGATTCCCATTCACTTCCATTATATGACTGACAGACTGCAACGGTTTGAGTTAAAAATCTTCGTTTGTGTTCTACTGAAGAAACAAAGTCACCTACGTCTTGGATGCCCTGGGGGTAAGCAGATAAATATCAAATTTTCACTTTTAGGTGAACTATCCCTTTAAGAGGCTCAGAAGAACTAAACAAAATGTATGCCGAAATGAGGAGAACAGCTTAAGATGCTTGACCTTCTGCAAAGTGTGGCGTAAAAATTACGAGACTCACAAATCTTTATGCAGAGGGTGTGACCATTTGCGCATTAGCTGGGGTTTTAGTCTAAGAGGAATTAGTCAGGTTTTAAGTAGCAGTATAGAGTACAAAGACATATTTTAAATATTTTGCTGGTTTGTGTGCGGTATTATTTCTTTGTGGTTTATTTTTCTTCAGGGTTCTGGCTGGTGTGGGCCATCATCTTAATCCTGAGCTGCTGCTGCATTTGTCATCATCGTCGCACCAAACACAGACTGCAACAACAACAACGACAGCATGAGATCAACCTCATTGCCTACAGAGAGGTTCACAACTACACCTCACTGCCCTTCTACTACAGTAATGTCATGCTCCTCATTGAATTTTTTTTTTTTTGCTACATTTATTTATTTAGCATTTCTTCATTCTTCAACCCTGGAAAATAATAATAAAATAAAACTGACTTGAAAAGTCATTTTGAAGTAATTAGGAAATAGTCAGTATGCTTTTTTTATATGTATACTATGTAGAAGAAATATTTCATTTGCTAGATTGTTGATTTTATGAGTGCTCGTGTAGAGTAGCAATCAAATGATTTGTAGAAATGGGGGCTGTCAGTTAAAATACATTTAACCTAATTAATTACATAATGTGACTTACTTTAAATTAATCACATGCATTATATGTCAGCATATCTCAGTATATATTCTTAGTATGTGTTTGGATTGAGTGTGAAAGGTTTTCTCAGAAAGATTTATTTGATGGGCTTGACCTGGTTTTGCTGAAAGATGAGAGGATCCATATACACCTACACCTCCTACTCTGTACTTGCTGCCTTTTGTTTGTTTACCCTCAGTGAGAGCACATGTGAAACACAATCTTATCAAACATTTATTTTTTGTTTTTTTATGCTATGGGATGGCAAGGTTTGATCAAAGTCCTTATTTAAGGCATGTCGGTTCACATGTCGAGCATCTTGAAAATGCCCCCCAGCAGTTATTTTCTGTGTAGGCAATAGGCATGCAAATACAGCTGCTGTCTTCCAATCTTTAACCCTCGTTTGTCAAGATTATATTACATTACCTTGCCAAACCAGCAACACACTTTGTTAATATTGTTAATTTATAATAGTAAAAATAGTATTATAGTTAGGGATGCACCAATAAGATTTTTATTTTTTATTTTAACAAACAAATATTGTCCGATACCGATATTGGTCCTTTGCCTTAAACAGGACTTAAAAATTAGAAATTGGTTATTACTCCGATTAGAATCGTTATTTGAACGTTTCTGTTCCTGCGTTCCTCTGTGAAACCGGTTTGAGTAGAAAACATACCGGTTAATAACTTTATTTTTTAAAACTTTTTCTTTGCCAATACTACTACTACTACTAATAATAATAATAAAGTACAGTGTTTAATTTACTCAAAAAGAAAAAAAAACAGCCTAAATAAATTGGGCTGTACGTTGCATTTTATTATTACATTCATAAATAATGTAGGCTAAAATAATGGTAAATAACAGCAAACTTAAATACACAGTTAGGCTATTTTAGTTCCCTTCTCTCCACAACAAATCCTCTAAAGTTGTATTTAGGCTAAATATAAGCGTCAAGCCAAAACAAATTAATTTAAAAACAAAACTGAAGCCTACCTCTCTCATTCTGCACGAATCCAAATGTTTCCATATTCGTGAAGTATCTGGATGCTAACCTATTATTTATTATGTAAACTATAGGCTTTGTTGTTCACTCGCATTATCGACGTAAAACATCATCCTTCACATATAGGCTATATCAGCAATGAGACGCTGGTCACAATGAACGGCACAGACTGTACTACGGACTATTTAAATTGAGCAGTGTAACTTTTTATGTTTCTTTAACTGTATAATTAACTGTATAAACTCTAACGCCGGTGCATTGCCATTGCGACTTACCTATGGTGAATTTACAGCTGAGAGCGGGCATTTCACTCGTTGGATGCGTAAGCGTCACATTTGCATATGGCCGTACTATCCCGTCTGACAAACTATATTTTGTACAGATTTATTTTGTTTTGGCAAGTATTTAATTATTTTGCTCCGAGAAAAACGTTGGATTATGCAACAGACATGCAACTCATTGTCTCCATGCAGTTAATTAATAAACCATCGGTATCGGCCCTTTTCATGCTATTTCTGATATGCCAATGGCTTTAAAATAATAAAAAATCTGCCGATAAATATCGGCAGCCAGTGCATCCCTAATTATAGTCAATAGTCCTTTTACAGCATTAAAGGTTTAGTTCACCCAAAAATGAAAATTCTGTCATTTATTACTCACCCTCGTGTTGTTCCAAACCTGTATGACCCGTAATGATGTCATCACGCCAGATCTGGGTCAGCACCGCAACACAATACACACATGGTATTGTCGTGAACGCGTGTCCAAAGTGACGCAGTAGAGACGAAAATGTGGAATAAAGTAGTTATTTTAGTTTTCTTCGTGCAAAAAAGTATTCTTGTAGCTTCGTAACTTTTCAGTTGAACCACTGATGTCACACAGACTACTTTGTTGATCATCTTGGTACTTTTCTGGACCTTGAACGTGGTAGTTACCTTGCTGTCTATGGGAGGGTCAGAGAGCCCTCAGATTTCATCAAAAATATCTTAAATTGTGTTCCGAAGATGAACGACGGTCTTACGGGTTTCGAACAACACGAGGTTGAGTAATTAATGACAGAATTTTCATTTTGGGGTGAACTAACCCTTTAAGCAGACTGAAATCAAACCTTAAGGACTGTGTAGGCAACTAATTGCATGATTAATATTATGAGTAATATCAGTATTCCTGTTCTCAGTGAAAATTCTCATCATTCATGAACTGGCTGTGATCAAAACAAAGGCAAACAACGCAAGTACACAATGATATTTTTTATGACAACAAAATTGATAAATTTCAGTACACTGGACACGGTACTGTACAGACATAGTGTTAATCTAATCTGTGACGTGAGCACGTCACGTGATGATAACTACATCAGTTGTTATTGTTGAGTTATTTTGCTTTATCATTTTATGGCTTTTTATTATTTAATCTTGAGATAGTGTCATACAAATGCTTGCTTACAATAGCTTTCAGTACCTGAAACTGTGTACACAATGAACCTATAGCAGAACATACATTACCTGCCCTATAGAAGAGATATAGAGCTTTACTGGGTTTGATTACAGCGGCTGTTAATTAACCTCCCCTAATACATGATTTAAAGCTATTAGCACAAAACTGAACATTCTGTAATAAAGTGCAATCTGTTTTCATCAGCCATGGATCAAAGAGCTCACAAAATCTGATGAATCACTCTGATTGTTGATGTAATGAGCTGATAAACGTGGTATTTTGGGTTTTGTGTATTAACACAGTCTGTTACAAATAGTGTATATTAAAAAAAGTGCTATACATTGTCTTGTTAAAATTATATTTCACTTCAAAAGAAAATCTGAATGGTCAAAAACGGTTAAACTCTTCAAAACATTGTCTTCTGAAGCCCATTTCTGCCACATAAGAAAATAAGTCGAAATTGACATAAAATGTTGAAATTATGAAATGCTAAGTCAAAACTGACATAAAAAGTTAAAACGTTTGACAAAAAGTTGAAGTACAGAAAGTAGAAATTAATAAAATTCAAAACTATGACATACTAAGTAATATGTAAAAATGATGGCATTAAAAAGATAAAATTATGATATAAAAATTATAATTGTGACATGGAAATTCAAAAGTATGACTGTCAAAACTGACACTCATGACTGAGATACGAAGTCAAAATAGATACTAAGTCATTAGATTAAATCAAGATTATTATAAAAGAGTATAATAAAGTTATAAATTCAAATTATACTAAAATTGATCAAAAGTCAAAACTATGATATACTGTGATAATTATGAGAGTTGCAATTGACACTCATTTTTCTTTGACTGTCATCAATTTGACTTGTCATAAATGACTTTTTATGTCATAGAGAAAAAAAAAATCAAAATTTAAAGTCATTGACAAGAAGTGTTCTGCCATAATTTTGATTTTTTTATCTCATAAATATGTCAATTTATGTAATAATTATGATTTACCAAAGCATGTTTTTTTTTTTCATTTGTTTTGATGTGGCAGAAGTAGGCTTCCATATGAAAGTCCTACAAGTTTGGAACAACAAGAGTGTCCCTTTAAAATGGATACAATTGTAGCTCCTCAACCAAAACAAAGTCTGAATTTTGAATGCTTCAAATTCTCCCTGCTGTTCTCAGACATTTTCTCACCATTCTTTTTCTTTCAGGATTCCTACCCAACTATCTCCTTCCAGAGTACGAGGAGGTAGTGCATCAGCCCGCCACGCCCCCTCCTCCATATAGTGCCTTAAACGCCGGCCCTCCGACCTACACCAGCCCTTTAACCACTGACCAGCAGGATGCACACTGCACACCCAGACAGACCACTCCAGTGCCCCCTGCATCTGAAACGCTCTGTTCCAGACCCAGCCTAGAGGAGATCCACACCTCTAATGGGTACCACCAGAAAGAAGACGGCAAGGGCGAGATGGAGTTAGAGCGGGGCAGATCCGCACAGAGCGCTCAGCAGCCTCCCAGCATGGAGACGCAGAACGAGTGCAGGAAGGAGCCTGATGAGAAAGAGAGGATTCTGGGAAGACATCGCAGATTCACGGGGGACTCTGGGATTGAGGTGTGTGTTTGTGGACGAGGCTTGGAGAGCCATGAGCCCAAAGAATTCGAGGGGCTTTTGAGCGAGGAGGACCAGGGGGACTCGGAGGATTTCTGTGAGGAATGTGGCCTTCGTTCCTACGGAGAGGAAAATCAGGGACTTCTGTCCCCAGAAAACAGGGTGGAGCGTGGAGCATTGCCAATGTCCCAATCTCAACCTCATCCGGTCTGCCTCTATTTGCATACTATTACTGAACAAGAGGGTCCACAACATGGTAACACAGAATCGTAAAGCTAAATGCATGACATTACTGTAAAAAAAAAAAAAAGTGAGAGGAGGACAAGAATACAGGGAAGCTGCAGTATGCAGTGCAGGAGCAAGCTTTGCGAAGTAATCGCACAATATATACAATTGTTTGTAAGTATGTGATGGAAACAATCGGATGTTCTCTGCATCGTTGTTTTATGTACAGAGCATCTATTTATCCGGTTAAAAAGCTCAAAAGTGCACAAGGATGGGCTCTACTTGCTCCACTAGACGATACATGTAGTGCTGTAATGGAGCGTTCAGGTATTCCCTGGAGATTCATATTTACAAGTTGATTCATCGTAATTATGACATCAAATGCGTTCAGATCACAGTGGTTGGAGAAAGATGGCGTAGTAACTTTTCTACACCAAAAACTCCACAAAATGACGAATAAAGAATGCACATAAGATTTCTTTTTACTTTTTTACAATATTTTTATTTCATGTATAAAGGTGCTGTAAATTGAATCCTAGTCTATCGTAATTGTACAATACTGTTGTACATGCAACATAGCTAGTTTTATTGTAAATGAAAAAGAAAACAAATTTCAACAAATTTGCCGTCAATACGTCCGGAACTCAGAAACTCCGTATGGAATATCCATAGTTTCCTACTTTGTAATTACGACTTTGTGGTGGCAGTCGTGTGCCTTCAACTTGTAAATACGATCTTCTGACATGACTTGTACGCATCATAAGACATCCTCCAGGTGTGGCCACATTCACACTGCAAAATTTTGTGGGCGAATTAAATTAAATTGCAATCCGTGTGAAAGGGAGTTTCGCAGATTCATGATTAAGTTGGTAATGTGAATTTGTTGCAATCACCAACAGAAAGCTGCTTGGTTTGAAATGGACTTCTTTGTGAGCATTGCTTCATGCATTGCTACACTATTGAGAGTGGACCATTTTTACCTTCGAAATCTCGCTGAAATTTTCCTAATGTGACCAGACTTAGGACACCAAACTGTGCAGTCTTAGGACTGAGGTTCTAAATATGTAACACTAGTGTGCTGAACTCTGTGTCTCAGGACAGTCAAAGAGCAATCTAAAAACTTGACTGAACGCCAAAAAAGACCATGTGCTTTTAATATCCATGTTGACCTTCCCTAATGTGATGGGACAAATCTTATTGGTGTGTATTAAGTTTTTGTTTTGCACACTCACGTTCTTCTGAATGAATCATATTCATTTACATACAGTCTTAATTCACATTTTATCTGTTTATATTGTCGTCTTTTTGGCTGCTGTAAGCTCTGATGAATTAGTCATGTGTATTTGGTATTCTGAACAAGTTTGATTCATAAATCTGAGTTTTTATAGCCAAAGTAGGCTATACAGATTATGACATCGGGCAGATGTTCGAATTAGGCTTGGAGCTTATAAGTGCTGCTTTATTACTACTAATCATCAGTTTTTGATTGCAAACAAACACTACATAATGTAGATTTCTTTGACCCTGTAGGGATAAAAGCCTTGCCAAAGGGAGGTGTCTTTAGTACACAAGCATTTACTGCGTAAAGTCATTTCTTAGGTGCCTAGTCAATGATATAAGCTACCAAGTAAAATGTTCGCTGGAACATATTCAAGTGAACTCCAAAGACAGAAACATTTTGATGTTTTTAAAATGATAATATACATAAATCCATGTGTAAAGCATATCTGGTTGAACTTGATGTTAGATGACACATATGGGTACAGATTTGATTAAGCTGTATGGTGGTAACATGATTTTTTTCAAGTGCCTTTTATGTCATTTTTGCACTTTTACAACCACTCTAAATACAGTTTCACGTGCCATTTGTCAAGTATCATCTTGAACATTAGCCTCATAGAATATAGTTTTTT